ATTTTTGAAGGCAGGATGGTAATCTGGATGAACTGACTGCACAGATGAAGTTTTCAGGTGGATTTTTAAGTTAAAAACATATTCAAACTACTTTTAATAATTCGAATCACAGCAAATATAGCTGCCATTGTAACAGGCAAAGAAAGGATAGAGTAGCTCCGCCCAACACACATCAAACCCACTTTTCGACGGCGCAGCCTGAGCGGCAAAGAAGCTTCATCCAAAACCTCCCTGAGACATTTAGATGGATGAAAATGCTTGTAAAGAAAAACAACGGTTCGTTATTTCAATTTAATAAAATCCTCATTAATGTTTGCCCTCACAGTACTGTGGAGGTTCTCCCCCACCCCACATTCTGACAAAATGGCTTGACTGTTGACTAACCAACTTTGAGTTTATGATGTTGCTTTGGTAAAGCACAGAGATCGCCGCCATGCTACAGAAACAAAGAAACACAGAGCCTAGACAGTTGCTAGTTTTAACTCTGTGTGGTTTTCACCTAGAGACAGTCCGCCCTCTGAGCGGGATGTCATCAGGGCTGGTTAGCCGTCTTATTGTTGGTCATTGTTTGGACTTTGCAGCAGGACTAATTTTCTGTGGGTCAACAAAGTTCATCTGAGATCTATCTAAAGAAACTACTTTAGGTCTCATAGTGGAAAAACAGGATGATAATCGACAACTAGGGAGGTTTTAGGAGCAGAGTGGAGCATCCATGTGGAAGCATCCCATTTTATAAATGGGGTTCATTATCAGAGCCTCCTTCCTTTAACTGTGATCAATGCTAGCATGTTCCTGCACACAAACCATCTCCTATAGACAAATAAGAGTCCACTATAGGGCTCTATGAATAAATAATAAGAAAGGCAGAGACATGCCCAGGCCGGACTTTAAGGGGACTAACTGTGACGCATCACACACCATCTCAGCCTGTTCAATAATCCACTGTGGAAGTTAGCACTAGCCGACACACATTAATCTGAGCTAAAACACACACTGTGTGTTTCTGCAAGTGTTAATGTTGTTTACACTTTTTTGCAGGCTCTAAACAACCATGCAGATTACCAAATGAAGATTATTGAATTTTTCTGTGTTAATTATGATCAGGTAAGAATCAATGGCTGTATTAACAGTTTGCTTTTGCTCCACAAGCTTTAAATTTAAGATTTTAAATACAAAAAAGGCTTCGACATATTTATATATTTACATTTCTTGAATCAGTATTTGTTTTTGAAAACATGGAATTTGCATGTTATCCCCGTGCATATGTGGCTCCTCTCTGGGTACTCCAGCTTCCAGAGTCCAAAAACATGACTATATTTAAATTGTCCTTAGGTGTGAGTGTGTGTGAGTTAATGGTTGTGTGCTCATTGTGGGTCTCTGTGTTGCCCTGCGCCAAACTGGCGACCTGTCCAGAGTGTACGCTGTCTCTCGCTCATAGACTGCTGAAGATAGGCACCTTCCCCACCGCGACCCTGACAAGGACTAAGTGCGAGAAAACTTATGAAGTTTATATGTACTTAAAAGTTCTGCATAAGCACTTTGTAACAAGATTTTCAGTTGGTGTGGAGGGGAAGTTAAAAATAAGAATATTCTACAGTAGTAGCCATTCAAAATTTCCCCACTTTCCTTGATGGACCCTTGGCTGGTCCTTGGCTAGTCCTTGGCTGGTCCTTGGCTGGTCTTTGGCTTGTCCTTAGTTGGTCCTTGGCTGATCCTTGGCTTATCCTTGATTGGCCCTTGGCTGGTCCTTGGCTGGCCCTCTGCTGGTCCTTGGCTGTCACTTGGCTGGTCCTTGGCTGTCCCTTGGCTGGTCCTTGGCTGGGCCTTGGCTTTCCCTTTGCTGGTCCTTGGCTTTCCCTTGGCTGATCCTTGGCTGGTCCTTGGCTTGCCCTTGGCTACTCCTTGACTGTCCCTTTGCTGGTCCTTGGTTTCCCCTCGGTTGGTTCTTGGCTTGCCCTTGGCTGGTCCTTGACTGTCCCTTTGCTGGTCCTTGGTTTCCCCTCGGTTGGTTCTTGGCTTGCCCTTGGCTGGTCCTTGACTGTACCTTTGTTGGTCCTTGGTTGC